ATCCACCAACAATTTATTTTGAAACATTCACCTTTAGTTTTCAGACCACCACCGAAGGAAAACAAGCAAGCAATCATATAAATAAATACCAAAACAAACCCAAATAAATCAAAGTAGCTTTGCTTGGCCTCTTAAAACAGGGCAAGTATGCACAAGGTCAGGACTGGACATGAAGGTACAATAAGGAACCTTGTGGCCTGCTGAGAAATGTGAAGGGAAGAAATAAATAATACCATTGATGTCTTTAAAAGCTGGTCCTGATGAGCTCAGGACCTGCTGATGCAAAGGGGAATCTGCTTGGACCCCAGACAATACAGCTCTTGTCACCTGCCCTCCCCAGGTGTTAGCTATTTTCTCACAACATCAAAGAATAGAATAACAAGTGCTTTGCATTCTAAAGTGTGTATTGTGGGAAGTTGAGGTAAGGAACAGATAATCAAGTTAATTATTTTCTCTTCCGGCTTGCAGCAAAGCCCCCGAAGAATGCCTATTGCAATAATGAAAGAGAATGTGTTGATGTCTTTTGATGAATTCCATTTGCTCCTCCGTTCTTCTTTTTCGATGCCACTAATCAAACGCTGCCATGTCTGAAAGGTGTTAGAAAAACAAACTGGCTTTTGTGTCATTGCTGAGCTCTCAAGAAACTCCTTGGGGATGCTGCAGCTGGTACAAAACCACCTTATTTTATTTTTTATTTTTATTTTTTGATAACCACATTGTTGATTGATTTTGCTGATCAGAAAGGGCGGCGGGGAGAATATGATCTAGGGAAATGAGTCTGCCAACACCTTGAGGAGAAAGAGGGTTTCTTAGCTTTAGCCCTGCTTCCAGTGGAAGTAGGGTGTGAGAAAGAGAATTTGGCACCTGGGAAGTGTCTGTAGTATAAACTAGTTTGATTGTCTGAGATTTACCTTGGAGACCACTGAAAATCGTGACATACAGCAGTGGAGGCCCTCAGCAGCAAAATCGCAGTGGACACCATCCCCAGAGGTCCTCAAAAGAAGCTGGGACAATTTTATCCATTTGCAATGGCAGGACATCTTTTGCTGGGTATCTAAGAATCTCCCTGCTTAGACCTCTAAAGGTTCTATCATGATTTGCACAAACATACTCTGAAAGAGAGAAGAGACCTTCTCTGCCCCCCCCACCCACTGCATTCATGTTTTCTCTTGCAAAGCCTGCTGTTTTGGAACTACCTTGCTCTTGCATCGCTACGACACAGGCTCATACATGCGCCACAGTCCTTTCGATCACACACTGCTGTGTTAGTTCCTCTGTGCCTCAGCCCCCCTCTCGCTTCTGCCGTGTTCATGGGCAGCCACTCAGCATCTTTCTCCTCCTCTCCCCTTCACCTCCCGAACACATTTCTGTCCTTACTGTCTGTTCTCTGAGTAACGATGCCCCCCTCCCCCGGCTTATCGGAAAGGCGTTTGATATAAGCAGAGCTTTGGTTGGGATCTCTTTCCTAGCAGAAAAAGGAGGCAGGCAGGTGGGGGGGACTTTATGTGCCTTTCTCAGAAGCAAGTCCTGGTTTTCCTTGCCGTGAAGGAAGGAGGAGACATGCCCTGCTTCCTGAGACCTGACACCGGGACCCGAGTTTGCCCTTCCCTTGCTGCTGGGAAGAAAGCCCATATAATGCACAAAAGGGTTCCCACTTGCTCGGAAGAGACCTGCGGCCCCCTTTAGATCTTTTATGGAGAAGGGAAAACAGGGAGCTCCCGTCCCTGGGTCAACTCCAGTCAATTCCCTTGGCATTTTCTAAAATGCGAAACATGTGTAGAATGTGACATTTTACTACTGGTTTTGTCATAGCTGGCCCTGGCACACTCCTGCCACACATGCTTCTAGTACGGGGAGGGGGTGGTATTAAAGGAAGGTGATTTGCATTCCAAATTACACCCTGTAGCAGCCTCCTAAAACTGAAGGCATGTGCTTGCCTGGCGTGGATTGGTTCATTTATTTTGGTGGCAAGGAACTGAGGAAGAGGTTGTAAAACCTTCTCTAAGGTAAGGCTTGTGGGGCGGAGGGTGCTTTTCTATTGGTTTGCTTGGTTTGAGAGAACAGATGCTTTTGAGTCACTGCAGTCGGTTCATCCAATCTGGGAATTGGAATGGATCCCCGAGAAAGCTCTCCTTCCTGTTACTACTGCCTCATGTTTGCACTTTAAATGCAGTGGCATTCAATCAGATCATTGACAGCTGCCTGGAAGAAAGGTGGAAATGACAGCAACCTTATTTGGGCTGCAGGAAATTAATGTTCGCCCTTTTGGTCTGCAATTATTAATGCGTCTCTTGCTATCACTTCTGTTGTTTTGGAAGCAGCCTGTGGAATGCTCTTTCAGGGGGTCATTTGGGTGACATCTGCTTAACCAGCAGTGTCTCACACACGTGCATGCACATACGCACACACACACACACATGACTGGTTAGCTTACAGGCTGTTTATATGTACGGGGCTGCCTGTACATTTTGCATTTGGCTTTCTTCTTGCTTGATCTCCCCCTTCCTGCTTTTGGAGCAGCAACCCGAGGAAAATGGCCATGCAATGTTTCTTTCATGCAACATGATTGCACAGACTCTAGAAAGTTCTGTACCATTCAGAACGAGATTATTAATACATTTTAGAAAGAGTTGAGTCTGCCACAGGGAGATGCACAGAATCGGGCACTGAATGGACAGCAAAGGCTCGACTTAAAAACAAACTTATCTTGCCTGGATTTAAGTTGCTCACCTTAGCAAAGAGCAAGCCCACTTGGCTTATTTCTGCCCTGATATGTTGGCACTCATGAATGCGTCATGCCTGCCTGGCTTTGCGTCTGTCCATTCTTCGTATATTTCATAGATAAATGGAAATATAGCCAACTTCCCATCGAGGTATTTTAGACTCCCTTACCCATCTTGACACATTACAGCCAATCTGTGCAATTCTGAACATGCTTGCACACCCACAAAAGCTGGGTGACAGTAACTCCCCCCACCATGAGCTACCACGTAGGAACAGGAGGCCCACAGGACTGCTCAGTCCCCCGTTCTTAGCAAGTGCTCTGTTGCTATTGTCGAAGTGTATCCCTTCCACACTCTCAACTGGAGTATCGTTCTAGTGGGCTTTTTACTAAGACATCTAAATAGAAATGTTATAATAATAATAATAATAATAATAATAATAATAATAATAAATAGCTTTTTAAGAGGGCACAGATGCTAGAGCTGGACGGAAGATGCACCCGATCTTGGAAACAGGGAGAGAGGTTCCCAAGCCTGGTGCTGGGAAAGCTCCAGGAAGGGCAGCATAAGTAATGGCATCTACGTGAGGTCCCCCGACACTCTCTGTCTCTACAGGGAGGGGCGAGAGCGGCTCTGCCATCTCTCCTCCGGGAGGAGGCTGCCTCGAACATCCTGCAAAAGGCTGAAGTGTGACGGACGCGTTTAATCCAGAGTGGAGCTTTGCAGGGCAAAATGTGCTCGTAAGGAGCCATATCTGTCACTTGGAGGTCTGCCGTGCTGCTTGGGCTCTGCTTGGCCAGGGCTGCTGAAAGGGCTAAACAGTTCAGTCTCGAAAGGCTGACCCATTCTTTTGACAGGGTCTTGCAAAATAAGCTCTCTAGATCAGGTCCTGCTTTACAAGGCACGGATCTGCCAGGGAGGGATGGGACAGGGAGTCAAACTCAGGTCTCCTCTCTGCCTTTTGTGGCAACCTGCCTCTCCTTCTCCCTCCCCACCCCCTCTCCCTCCCCCCTCCCTCTGGCATCTTCAAGCAGGTGTCAGCTATCAGCTTCATCCATCAGTTTGTCTCAAAACAGTGGCCTTTTGAGTTAATTAACTATATCATAATTCTGCCACTGCCACTCCTGAGCTACAGGTAAGCCATCTTTTCACTCAAACCTTAGGCTGCCTGATTCGAATGGGGTGTGTATGTAAGTAAGGGAAACCGAGAGATGCACTGGTCTGATTTTGCATTTCTAAAAGAAAAACTCCGGGAACACTCGGAGGCCTGGAGAATGTTTGGAAACCTCACTTGTCATGGACTGGGCCAACAAATCCAGAGTGTACGGTGAGGGGATAACACACTGCAGTCATTTTACGGAGGACCGGAATCAAACAATCGCTCTGTGGCATCCACACCGGCGGCCAGCTGCCCTAGCCCTCCTGGTCGCTTTCCCCCTAGCGGCTTGCTGTAGAAACTGGAAGGATGTTCCAAGCACTCTGTGCCCAAAGGTAGCTTGCTGCATTGTGGTGAAGAATTTGCTCCGGAGCCAAGCACACACGCTGAGCTTCTGGTGCCGAGAATGGCCTTCAGGCCCCTTCCCTGCCATCAGTACTCTTTAGGGTACAGACTGACGGCCCCCCTGACTTGGGGGGGGGGCCCTGCATAAAACCGTGAGTGGGAGGGAGATACTGTGTGATCCAAAATAAGCCTTTGAAGGATTCTGGGCACCAGAGGGAGGAGGAGGGGATGGCAATTTGAGACAGGTTTTCTGTTGCTCTGGCTTAGATCTCCAGCTGCGATATTATGTTGGGGACTATTTTGATGCCAGAGAAGATGGAGAGAGAGGAGAAGCTGCAAGGTTTGGGGGTTCTTAAAGGAACTTGCAGGACGGCTGAGCTCCCAAGATTTCTGCCCTTTTCACAAAGGAACATACAGCCACGAGAACCTAATGCTTCCCCAGTCAGATAACCCCACCCCCCACGAACTAAATAGAAATTTTGCAGATAGCATGGGGGGGGGGTGGAATTTTTACCACTACATTTTTACATTCAGCAGTAACATGGTACAAGTCACAACAGAATTCTCAAAACCAACAGGTTAATCTAAACATACCATCTGTGGCACGCTTAGCACCCAGCCCTTGTCCCTTGACTCTATATAGGCAAGAGAGATTAAATGCATGCTTCCCATCCCTATATAGGTGAACAATTCAGGTAACATACAGCAGTCTGTAAAAACTGTAAATGCTATTTTGCTTTTATTTTAAACATATTTTGTTGTCGTTTTACAAAAAAAAATCAATACTTCGTACTTTTTTACACTCTCAGATTTTTGATTTTTTTCAGAATACTGACAGATCTTTAAAGAAAGCTGTTATGAGAAATATTTCATTTCTTTTTGAAAGTTGAAGGTCTTGAAGGTTTTAAGCCACAATAAAGCTAAAAGATGGAGTCTTTTTTATCATTATTTTTTGGCCAGCTCCTCTTTTTTTAAAACAATTTCAGCAAACAAGGGCATTGGTAAGCACACGTCAACCCCCATCCAACTGTCCTTTTATTATTTCCTCACTCCTATTTGGTTGCACACTGTGTTATATCACCCACTGGAAAAGAATTAAATCACACCTCACATTCCCTGGCTGGCTGCTGGTGGCAAGTGCAGGATCCGTACTCATTAATGATCACTAGAGCACCTTCAATGTGGTTGGGTTTGTAATCAACGTAATACTCCTGAGCTGACATGGCAGCCATTTGATGCATGGTTTGTTTTTGCTTCTGCTTCCTGCGCTGTGTCACAAAACATTGTCTCAGTTGCCTAAGGCTGGCTGGGAAACATTTCCATGAAACGTACAACACCAAAACCACGATGAGGAAGGAGAAGATGAGGGCCATGGTCCCAGTCACCACCTTGTGAATTTGAACAGCGTTCTCCACGTTCTCGTTGGGCATCGTTACCGTGACGGCGCCGGTCGTCCTGTCCCCTCCGAGATCCTGCAGGTCGTAGCTCAGGGTGGCCGAACTGGGGCTGAGCGTGGGGTCACTGTTGTTGGCCGCTGCAGACAGGGGGTCGGCATCACTTGTGGGGTCTGCAGCATCTTCACATAGGTGGAAAGCGTAAACCGCATCCAGGACGTCCTCGCCCTGGGCATACTCAGGGGTGGAACACAGTAGGTTGCTGTCGTAGCGGCCTTTGAAGTTGCTCAGCCAGGAAGCCAAGGCACAAATGTTACGGCCACAATCCCAGAAGTTGGCAGAAAGGCTGATGCTAAGGAGGGATTTCCAGGAGTTGAGGATTCTCGGGTGAATGTAGGTGAGCCGGTTGGAGTCCAGCTGGAGCGACTGAAGGTGAGGTACACTTTCGAAAACGTGAGGTTCGATGTATTCGATCTCATTGCCTGAGAGATCCATTTTTTCTAATTTCCATATCCAGTCCAAGGAGTTCACCACAATGGTGACTTTATTCCGCCGTAGGCAGAGGGAGTGCAAAGAGAGGAGCCTGGGGAAATGGGCCAAGTTCACTTTTACCAAGTCATTGTGCTCAAGATGTAACTCGGTGAGTTTGAACAAACCTGCAAAGGAGTTTCGAGCCAGGCTTTTCAACTGATTGTATCCTATGTCGAGAAACTTCAGGCTGCGGCAGTCTTGGAAGATTCGAACAGGAACAAACTTGAGGGCATTGGACCTCATGTGCAAAGTTGTCAGCTTGCGCAAGCCATGAAACAGGTCTGGTTCCAAAGCCTGCAGATTGTTGTAGGATAAATCCACACTGCGCAAGTTGGGCATGGGCCGGAAGGTGGTGTTGGGCAGTTGTGTGATTTTGTTGGAACTCAGCGTGAGTTCTTTGACTCTCCTCAGCTTTTGAAAGGCATTTCCCTCCACCGAGCAAATATGATTGTGATCCAGGTAGAGCCACGTGAGTTGCATTAACCCCGTGAACTGTCCATCACGCAGCTCGGAAAGGCTGTTGTACCGCAACGACAAGCCCATCACGCCCGACAAGTTGTGCGGCATCTCGGTGAGATTCAGAGACTCACAGTACAACAGCCTAGCTTCGCACCTACAGAGCTGCGGACACCCACTATTCACGGCTGGAAGCATTTTGAAAAGGATACCCAGCGTGCAGAAAATCAACCCCGGAGGCTTTCTTAGCAGCCAGTTTAAGCAGACACCAATAAGAAGGAAATCCATTAGCAAGAATATCCCCAAGTATGCCCCAGAATGTCCATTTAATCTTTTGTCCGTCAGTTTCCCTTTTTGTACAAATTCTACATCATACTGTATATCAGACAGGGGGACAGGGACAGGGACGAGGCAAAAATAAGAGAATCATTGGGCCAATTACTTCACTTGAGGGGATATGCTTTTGCTTTTGTGGCTGTATTTTTTAAGAAAAAAGAAGCATGCAGAAATCTGTACAGCATTAAAGTTCAGAAGCATTCAACAGCGGCAAGGGATTCTGTCCATTTTAGATGCCGCAGCAACGGAAAGAACAATTAAAAAATCTCTCTCTTCACGAAAGAATGAAATTAAAAAGTGTCTTACCCACCCTTTTCCAGAAAGTGACAACCTCCATTCAGCAGCTTTCTTTGTGTTTGGGCTTAATTATATGCAGGGCTAAAAAAGAACTCTCTGTTGCTACAAATTCTGTCTCTTTCGGCTCTCTGGGAGACTGGCAGACTCACAATGTCTCACTTTGCTTCGTCTCAAAGGGCGAGAGGCATGTCCGGCTAGCTTTTTTTTCCTCCCTTATTTTTAAGCCGACTCCCAGGACCTTCAAGTTTCAGAAGTATGGGCATAAGGGTCGATCTTCCTTCCTTCCTCTCTCTTCCCCCTTTCCTCTTTCTCTGCCGTTAACACTGTGACGCGGGAGGGAGAGAGGAGGATTAAAAAAACCAAAGAAAGAAGCCCTTTCCAAAACTCTTTACTTAACAGCTCCCCAGCATTTGACCATCTCCTTCACGTCCATCACTGCAGACGAGCGGCAGCAAGGTTTTCTACTCCGCTGAGACCGCTTAAAATTCATTCACTGACCGACCGGGCTGGCTAAAGACGGCTTTATTTCCCATTCCTGGCTCGCCTTGCTTGCTAGAAGACGCTCGGAGCGGAGAGAGACCCGGAGAGACAGCGAGGATTCCTCCCTTCCAGCCGAGCAGCGTGTCGCTCCAGCTCGCACAGGCACCTAGCGCTCACTGAGTGTCGTAAGCTCTTCATGATTGTGTGCCTGCACCGTGTTTCGCAGACATGGGCAAACGGAAAAAGGGGTGGGCATAAAACCAACATTTTAGTGAACCAGTAAAGGAATATATGTTCTCTGATGAAATGGAAAATACTTTAAGCCCCTCTCGCCATTGCTCAAACACACACGCACGCGCGCGCGCGCGCGTGCACGCGTGCTTCCACATATTGGCAGCTGCAGCAGCAAGACAGCGCTAAGGAGGAAACTGGGAAATTAGATGCCCGTTTTCCTCTCCCTTTGTTTCAAGGGGCCGAAGGCACGAGGCACGGGGGGATGCAGCCCGGAATGGGTGGATGTGTTCCTCTCACTGACTCTCTGCCGGAGCCTGCACAAATTACGAGCTTTGGATTCTGTGCTATTGTCTGAGATGAGCATTTGGCTTTCCTTCCATCCCTTAGATGTGCGTTTGTGGGCACTCTTGTCTCTCGTTTCAAGAGCGTTCCGGGAGAATGGAGCTCTTCGCTGTTCTCCCCCCCCCCACAACCCCCTCCATCACCCCAGTGCAAGCGAGGCGCTTGCAAAGACGGCTGGGCGCATGGGAGACCGAATACCATTGGGTGGTCTTCCCCTTCCGCATTAAAGAAAGAGGAAAGGATGTCCTTACCAAACGCTCTGGCTAATGGCATATTTGTGACCGAAAATGCAGCGCTGGGCGCTCCGGCATACAAAAGAGTTATTCAGGCGTTCAGAATGCTGCATTTATGAATCAATCTACCATGCAGTTTACTTCTGGTGTGTGTGTGTGTGTGTGTGCGTGCGTGTGTGCGTGCGTGCCTGCGTGTGTTTGTGTGCACGCGCTGCGGGGAGGGGGATGAGCCCCCCAGCTTTCGCAGATTGTGCTGCTGTTTTGTTAAATGGACCAAGAAATGCCTGCCTGCTAATTCTCAGCCATCATTAGGTATGGAAAAGGCCATTGTTGACAGGCGTTTTCGGCATCCTTTAGTGACTAGGGAGAGTGAGAGCTGCTCTGTTGCCAGCACTCTGCTGTCCAACCTTTTGCCCATTTTGCTGGCGCCCGTGAAAGTCCTCCTGTGCTTTTGGCACAGGAGAGTCAAGCTTAAAGATGTGACACCGGCATTCTTTGTCCTAACACGACTGATATATTCTAGAGGGTTGACTAAAGCAGGCATGCCCCTTGAGCGTTGTTCCACTGAGGTAGGTGGGATCAGGAACAGCCCGTTGTCACTGACAAGAGTATTGCCGAGACCTTGATTTCTCCCGAATTTATGGGAATACGCTTTAATGCATGCGTTCAGCCTCCAGCGGCAGAGGGAAGGGAAGCTGAAGGAGCTGGCAGTTCCAGTCCTGGGGAGATCCTCCAAACAGAACCCATGGAAAATACGGCCAAAGAGGCAGAGCGGGGAAAGAGTCTGGCAGAGCGTGTACATGCGAAAAAACAGATCTTTGCCTCAGTGTTCAGCCTGCCCTTTGCCGCGTTTCCTTCTCATGGGTTTAATATGCATAACCGGGCGCTTAAGCAACATGCAAATCTTTGCTCCCAGCTCAGATGCAACCTTTTTTTTGGGGGGGGGGGCAGGCTTGGACTCCTGCTGCTGCTGCTTGTTTGCCTGCATGGGCAGCCCTCAGTCCCGGTGCTGCCAGTGGGGGCTGTGTATACAAAACCAGCAGGGGAGTCGGTAGAAGACGGGCAGGCAGGGAGAAAGCTGTAAAGTGCATTGCCAAAGGCTTCACAGATGTACTGGGTCTGGATACACCTGCAAGATTGCTTCAGCTAGAGCGACTCTGGAAGCGTTTGCACTGCAGATCGTCTCGGGTTCAGGGAGCAATCATCTCAAAGGATTTTCATTATCCTATGCAAATAGGAACTCTATAAATCTGCCTTCTCTTTTTGCAGAATGTGTGCGGCACTTTTCAGTTGTGTGTTTGTCGGGTGGTGCATGAGAGAGAGCGAGAGCGAGAGCGAGAGCGAGAGCGAGAGAGAGACCAAATGTGTTTGCATGATCAGGTCTATATGTATTTACTTATTGTGGTGATATCCCACCGTTCTACTCTTGGCAAGGACCCCAGTGCAATTTAAGTGGTCATCCTCCTCTGCCTCCTCCTCTCCTTTAATCCTTACAACAACCCTGTGAGGTAGGTTAGGCTGAGAGTCTGACTGGCCTGAAGCAAGTTTCATGCCTGAGTAGTGACTTGATTTTGGGTCCTGGAAAAGTCTCCAGATTTTCCCAGTTTGCCTCATTTTCTTGCATTGAGAAAGGCACATTTTCACTTGGGAAAATGCATCTTTTTAGAAGCACAGGCTCTTATGTGAACATTTTCACTCATTCGAGAAAGCACGAAAATCTGCATTTTCCCAGATGTACCCAACGGTTCTGTGATGCAGGGACATTTTCTGGAAAAAGGCACACAGGTTTGCATTCAAGAATGTGAATGGGGCTCCTTTGATTGTTTTGAGGATGGAAAAAACATTCTCATCCACCTCATTGCAAGACTGAACCAGCCAGAGAGCTTCAGTTAACCAAGAGTATACAAGCAGTAGGAGTGTGAGTAGGAGTAGAATTCATCTGGGTGGTTTACAACAGTAAAAAATTGCAGTGTATAAAATGCTTAGAATCATAGAATAGCAAAGCTGGAAGGGGCCAGAGGGCCTCCAAGTCCAGCCCCTGCTCTGTGCAGGACTCCCCCTCTCCGATGGCTGTCCAGCTGCATCTTGAAGGCCTCCAGTGTGGGGGAGCCCAGCAGCTCCCCACATCATGAGTTCCGTTCTTGTACTGCTCTAAGAGGAATTTTTCCCAATATCTAGTCATGATCCTGTAACTTGAGTCTTCTTCCATGTCCTCCACTCTGGGAAGCTTGAGAAGAGCTTCTGGCCTTCTTGCAAGCATTTGAAGACTGCTATCCTGTATCTCCTCAGTCCTTTCTTCTCAAAGCTGAACATGCCCACTTGTTTTTACAGGAGGGATCTTCACAAGTATACTCTGAAGTAAATTTCATGGTATTCAGTAACTGTGCTTTTCCCCTGGTGTATAAGCACTGGGCTGCATCGTTGGCTGGGCTGAGGACGGAAATGTCTTGAAAATGGGCAAGCATCAGGCAAGATGGAAAATGGCAGGCATGCAAATAAAATCTAGAGCCCTTTCTTTGTGTGAGTAGGGCTTGATTTCTTGTCTGATGTGTCATCCTTCTTGAGCATCCTAAATGAAGTCAACAGAGGTGCATGTTTTCAAACTATTTTAAAGTCTTATTTAAATGCCAGTGACTTATAGCACGTTGGGTTTGGTCATAAGAGGGCTGAATTTTGAATTCATATTCTCTATTACTCCTGGTTTTCCACTCCTGTCTCTTTGAGCATATGCTGAGTAAACTGCATTTTGATAATCGGAGCAGTATTGCTGAATGAAAGAATTAGAGAGCACCTTGGATTCATCCTCTAAAAGAGGGGTTCCCAATCTTTTCGGTGCCACGGGCACATTTGAAATTTTGAGAAAGTGCTGTGGGAACCAGCACAAAATGGCTGATGTGGGAGTTGCACATTGCTAAAAGAGCTGCTTCATGGACACAGCTTGTCACAAAACATTCATTTCCCAGAAGGCTGTGAGACTCAAAGAAAAGGGACTTGCCCAAGAACCTAAGTTCAAGGCAGAGGTTGGATCTGGGCTACAAATCACACAATCCTTCCACTGAACCCAAGCAAGGATGGAGTTGGAGGGTGACATATTCTTTTGCTGCATGGCAGCTCCCCAACTAATAATAGCAATTCTTAAAACTCCGGAGGGAAAAATGATTAAAATCCAGAAGGCCAGGAAGTCTTGTGGGCACCAACCAAAATACCCAGGAAACCTCCAGTGACAACTTTTCTTTAGAAAGAGGAGGAGAAGGAGATGTGTTGGGGGGAAATGACAGAGAATGCCATGAGCTGAGCCCCATTTGCACAAAGAAACAAGACCATTCTCCCAGTTTCCCTAGGACCCTTGTGCTGATGACAATGCAGATCCAATGAAGGGTGGCTGCGTCTTCCTTGCCTGGTGTCAGCCCTGCACCTGGGGCCACGAGCAGGCCTCCTCGTTGCTGGGACCCATCAGTGCTCTCAATGCAGCGGCTTTGCAGGGGAACCGGGAGGGAGCCACACGGTTGCTGAACAAGGGCTTGGATCCAATGAACCGGAGCACTGATTTCTCCACCTGCCAGCCTTAGGCATCCATGATGATGGTGCGTTGCTTGGTTTTCGAGCTGAATTTGCCCTTCCTCTGTTGACCTCTGCATAGGAGCACATTTTCTGTTCGTGATCAAAAGTGCTCGCTTTGAACCAAAACGCATTAAAAATGTGTTTTACCTCTTATCCTAAACTGAGCCTTTCAACAAAAAAAAAAGTGTTCTAAAATATGCCCTTTCCCTGTTTGAACCAAAGAGAGAAGCAGATTGCTACCCGAAAGGAGAGCATGGCAGGCTGAGCTTTAAGATGGAACTGGATGCTGGCTGATCCTAAGTCGTTCGTTTGAGGCTCGCATCCGGAACGGCAGGACTCAGGGGAACTTAAAGATAATGAAATCCTCCTCCGTTCCCAAATCTCAGACCTCCAGGGCACAAGTGGCGGCACACTCAGACAGAAGAAAGGCTTACGGGTCTCAGCTTGCCCCAGCAAGCATGGCGCATGTCAAGGTATCGATAGTCGCATCTTCGGTGACTTAAGCACGCCAGATCAGCTGCCTCCAAGGTTGATGCCAGGAAGCGCTTCCTGACAGTCAGGACCCCGAGGGTGTGGAATGGGCTTCCACGGGAGGTGGTTGAGGCCCCATCAGTGCGGGTGTTCAAGGATAGGCTGGATGTCCACATGGTGGGCATGTCGTGAGCGGAGCCAGCTGGAGCCGGTGGTCAGCCCAGAGGCCCTTCTGACTCGCTCTGTTTCTATGTTTCTATGTCCTCTACTCTGCCATGTTGCAGCTCTGAATGGAGTGCGCCATATTGGACTTGGCT